GTCTAAGTCACGTGACAAAGTTGTAGTAGACGAGTTCCGACGGCCATGGGCCCTACCTTCCCACCTAGTCTTTTCTTTGCTCTGGTCCTCCCCTTCTCCCGTCTGTCTCCCTCTCTCTCTCTCTCTCTCTCTCTCTCTCTCTCTCTCTCTCTCTCTCTCTCTCTCTCTCCTGCCAGAACACTCCCTCATATCACACAGAGCAGCCATCTACTGCGCACTTCCCATGAATTAATTTGTATGCAGAGTCGCCCCGTCTCGACGCAATCAGAATTAGACACGCTCGTGTATATGTGCGTGCGAGAGAGGGGGCGAGAGAGAGAGGGGGTGAGAGAGAGAGAAGTGAGTTGGAAAGAGACAGCACGGGAGACTGTGCCCGCTGTGTGGGAGGAGCGCGCTGTTTAACCTAATTTGTCATCCCGTAATGTCCCTCCCACTCTCTCGCCCGAGGTGCACGCCGCAGCACGGCCCATTGCCCGTGATATCGTTACGATACGCCACACTGCCACACGGTTTTCCGTTTAATTAAGTTAAGACGTTCTCGTTCTCCCGCCGCGACTTCTAAAGGAAGAGAAGCACAAATGACTTTGGGGCCAACAAATTTGTCATTTCGACTCGGATCGGCTCGGAGCATAGGACTTTATTTCTTTTCTAATTTTGCAAGATAAATCCAACAACATTACAACAATGACAAAAAACAACAACTTTTTCAACTTTCTTGTTTTACGAAAATGTAATGGTGTTTACTTGTAGAATGCTTGGAAGTCGCCTAATCTTTCAAGAGAGGCAAAGTTTATTAAACAGCCCTACGTTATACAGTTTGATTTGCAGAGTACACGGCAAAAATAGTTTCTTCATAAGATCCAAGATTACGGTCTAGTAACACAAGAATTTTTTTTCACCGTGTACAAAATAAGGGGTGCTGTGCGCGCGCGCGAGTGGTCCACCCCCCTCCCCCCCCTCCACGGTTCGAGTGGAGACTCGATCTTGTTCGAAATCTCGTTGCGAGGGGGCGAGACATCAAAGTCATACCCTGGATGAAGGTGGCGGTGAGGAGAGAGGAGAGAGGAGAGGGTACCCGCGCGCCTCCCACGCACTGGCGGGGCAAACAACCACCATTTATGGCTCGGCTCGGAGCAAGACTTTGCTTGGCGCTCTACTTCCGCACGATAGGGAGGGCAAGCATTGGGGGCAGGGCGTGCACGAAAAAGAGGAAGGAACAAACAAAACAAATTAGGTAACACTTAAAAACTCTCTGTGGTCTCCTTTCATGCCAACATTTTGTCGTTCCTTTAAAGTGCCAAAAATGTTTGCATCTTTAGCTGCCAAACTTTGCCAATTTTTGCATTACATCTCGCATGCCAAAGAATTAAGTGAAGAAGTGCATGACAAAAGTTTTCCAAAATGTAAACGAAAAAAAACAACAACACAGAGAAAGTGTGTGTGTGTGAGAGAGAGAGAGTAAGTGCCATCTACCGCCTGGGCTCTTTTCTTCGGGGACAGCACGACGGGCGGCAATGTTCTCGGATTCTAATACGAGGCGTCTCTAAGGCGACACTTGACGAAAATGAGCAAACGAGGAAACGACGCGCTGCTGCTTTCTGCTGCGTCTTAAGGCGGACGCCCGCCTCCGCGAGGAGGTCCTAAGTGATAGCAGCGGCAGCTCAAGGGCGATGAGGTCCTTTTGAGCGCAACTGCCCGCCCCGCTCCGCTCCACGCGCGCTCCAGAGAGAGAGAGAGAGAG